CGCGGGCTCGCGGGCACCCGCGGGCCGCGGGCTTGAACCGAAATGGAATCGGACGCGGAAGCGAGACTTCGGGAGGAGGGGGAGGGGGTTGCCCATGGACCCATTGAAGTCTTGGAGCTCCTCGAGCCCTCGGGGGCCTCTCAGAAGGGCCCCGCTGGTTCTTGCGACGGGGTCTCGGGGGAGGGGGCAGAGTGAGGGTGGCATTGGGAACCAGAAATATAAGTGAACTGGCGTCCCTTTGAATGTGCAGGTCTTGGTTCACTTGTTTTCGTCGTTGAACGGGCGGTGGCAACGTCGGTGCCTTCGCGCGCGCCCATGCCATTCTGGGTGAACGCCTTCGCCGTTCGAGCAGTGGGCGTCTCCCCGACGTTAGTTGGCGTGGGATCCAGTGCCTGACAGCGGAGAGGGGGGCGCAGGGACGTGGCGCGGGGGCGCGGAGTGGGCCGATTAGGGGAGGGGGGCGGCGGCATGTCCGCCTGAAGGGCGGAGGAGCGCAAAGGGGTGGGGCGGGGGCGGCATGTCCGCCACGAGTTGGAAGGCGAGAAGGCTGCGCTACAAGGCGGCATATCCGCCACGAGGCGGCATATCCGCCACGACCTTTTTGTTATCCCGAGGCCGCCCCGTTGGCCTGGAGAGTTGAAGAGTCGTAGCGCGAATTACTCGCCGCGCGCCCTGGCGGCGAGCTCCTTCTTGACCAGCTCCTCCGCCTCCGCGATGGCCCTGGCCTCGGAGCGATCGGGCGCAACGAGGCAGCAGGGGGCGGAGGGGGCGTCGAGGCAGGGGCGAAAATGAAGAGAGCGCGGAGGAGGGCGTCGAGAAGGGCGTCGGTGAGAATCTGGCCTTGTCGGCCTCATCGCCCGCGATGTACTTCAGGCTGACGTTGCTGCCAGGGACGCCGACCCTGCCGCTGCGGAACTGCACCTGGGGGGCGGAGCAACGATGAACAGTCGCCTGAAAGGCGGCGGGCGCGCAAACTGCGACCCCAGCGGGGCTGCTGGGAATCGCCGCGCGCGCCCGACGCCTCATCGGTGGGAGGTTCAACCCCGCTCGCCAAGTTGCGTGTGGTCTGCATCTCCCACCTCGGCTTCGCCCACTTGCGCTGCTTGTCCTTCCCAGCCGCGCCGTCCGTCTTCTTGCCCGTGGGGAGCGGCGTCTTCTTAGCCACGTTGCCCGTGGCAGGCGGCGTCGTCTTCTTTGCCGCGTTGTCATTGCCAGGCGGCGTCGTCTTCTTAGCAGCATTGCCCGTGGCAAGCGTGGGGGCCTTCACCGCCTCGGCGTTCTTTTTCGTCTTGACCGCCTTCGTCCTCTTATCCATGGCCGCGACCATGGCCAGAGCCGCCTCCGTCGGGGTCTTCTTCAGAGAGCCTGCGGCGATGCCGACCTTCTCAGCCTTGGGCGGCGGCGTCACGGCGACGATGCCGAAGTCGGAGTCGGAGTCGAGCTCGATCGGCAGCTCATGCTTCTTCTGCTTCTTCGCCGCGCGGCTCTTGCTGATCGAGGCCGTTTGGGCGGCGGCGGTGCTCGATAACGGCTGACAGTCGGCGGGTTTGCCGCCATCGTGTGCCGCCAGTTGCTGCGTCGACGGCGCATCCGAACTCCCCGCCGCCATCGAAAGCTGGTGGTTCGAACCTGCTCGTTCTTGCAACGGCTCCTGCGGCTGCTGCGTCTGCGAGCGGTCGATCAGCTGGATGGCTGGGTTGGGCCAGCGGCCGCCGCTGCGCGAAAGCCCCACCTGAAATCAGGCGGATCACCGCCGAACGAAAATATTCCCCCCCCCCCATCCCCCTAGGGGGATGGGGGGGGGGAATATTTCACAACACGCCCTCCATCCAGGCATCCAGAAACGTACCCCGCGCCGATCCAGGAACCCACCCCTCGACCCAATACCAGGTGTCCCGCGGGGGAATGCGTTCTGTTATTCCCCGTGGAGCCGTCGGCCAGCGCCCAGAGAACGAATCGGCCGCCGCGATGGGGAGGTGCTGCTGAGGAGAGCCGCCGCCTGGGCCGTGGGATGGCTGCAGCCCGCCGCGGGCGGGCGCAGGCGCGGGCAGCGCGAGGTGGCCGCTCTTCTTCCCTGCACGGAGATTAATCAGCTTCGCAATCGTCACCATCTCGACGGGATTTATCTGCGGCGCCGTCGCTCCAACACCTGGCGGGAAGGCGTCGACGTACGTGATGGGGTACTGAGACTGGAGCCTCCCAGGCGTGATGGGGAGAGCCTGGATGCCATCCCTGGGCGGCGGCATCGTCGCCACGAGATTCTTGAACGAGGATTTCACTGTGGCCAGATATGACTGCAACAGCTCCCTCGTGATCTCGCCCGTCTCCACGCCTGTCTGCTTGCACACCAGCAACAAGAATGCTGCCATATTGGCGGCCGTCGGGCAGCTCGGATGCCTCAGGCCAAGCGCCCCGAGGTGCTCTGAGAACGCCGCCATCTTGGCAGTGAAGCCCGAATGCGGCGAGAGCACGAACTCCCACAACTGAGGCGTCAGAAATTCAATGAACCCCTCGTAGTTCTGGAGCTTCCTCCCCTGCAGGCTGCCCGACGACAGAGCCTGCAAGAAGTCTCCCAGCTCGGACTGCGCCCACCCCACGCCGCCGCCCAAAGCAGCAAACTGCGCACTCTGGAGCTGCGACCAGCGCTGGGACGTCGCCGCCTGGATGCAGGCAGGAAGGTGCTCCGTCGCACTGCCGCGCGCTACGAACGCCGCCCGCGCCTCCTCCAGGCGGCCTCGAAGGATGCCCTCCATGGCAGCGATGCGGCGCGACCGCGCGCCGAGCGGAGTGCGCGACTCCCCGCGCGCGCACGCCGCCCGAAGCCCTCGGAGGAGGGCTCGCCAAAAACGGATCGAGCCAACGCGCGTGCGACGGACATATCCTACTCCTGCTCTTCCTGCTCCTCCTCCTCCTCCCCCTCCTCCTCCTCCTCCTCCTCCTCCCCCTCCTCCCCCTCCTCCCCCTCCTCCTCCTCCTCCTTCTCCTCTTCCTCCTCTCCCTCCTCCTCCTCCTCCTCCTGGGTGAGGGGGGGCGCAGGGGGGAGAGGGTGTCGAAGGGGGGGCGGGGGAGGGGGTGCCGAAGGGTGCGCGGGGGGGAAGAAGAGAGCTATGGGGGAGGGTGGGTCAAGGAGAGGCCAGGGAGGGGAGGGGGGAAAGGGGTGGGCGGCTTGCCGCCGAGGGGGTGGAAGGAGGCGGCAAAGCAAGCCGCCGATAGGGCGGTTGGGAAGAAGCGGTTTCCCGCCACGAGGAGGAGAAGGCGGTTTGCCGCCAGAGGAGGAGTAGGCGGTTTGCCCCCAGAAGGGGTAGGCGGTTTGCCGCCAGAGGAGGAGAAGGCGGTTTGCCGCCAGAAGGGGTAGGCGGTTTGCCGCCAAAGGAGGAGAAAGCGGTTTGCCGCCAGAAGGGCGGTTTGCCGCCACGGAGGGGGAGAAGGCGGATTGCCGCCATGGGGGGGGGAGAAGGCGGATTACCGCCGACGGAGGACGAGGCGACGGAGGAGAAGGCGGTGCGCCGCCTAAGGAAAGGGGGGATAAGGGAGGGCCGAAGACACATGGATAAACATTTTCCTCCTTCCCTCCCCCCTCCCCGCGGGCATGCGCGCAGCCCGCAGCGCCGCGGCCGCGAGGTACAGCAAGTACCTGCGGCGCCTCGGTCCTGAACAACTGAACAACAACAACAACGGAAATTCAATGGATTTCAAAAAAGTTAAGAATAAAAAATACGCAAATGATTAGCAAAAACACGAATATGTTCAGCCCCATCGACTTAGCAGAGATATCTAACTTAGTATATTACTTACATCTACACTTACAAACACCATAAGTATTGCATATGCACACATGAGATGCGCGATCAACAAGTGTACGTTCTATGGCTTAACTAAGATTATGTAAGATGAACGCTCTTACCGCACTTACAGCCACCCGACGATCAAAGCAGGACGCCCGGGCGCCCGGACACCCGGACACCCGGACACCCGGACGCCCGGACACCCGGACGCCCGGGCGCCCGGACACCCGGACGCCCGGACACCCGGACACCCGCACACCCGCACACCCGGACACCCGGACACCCGGACACCCGGGCACCCGGGCACCCGGGCACCCGGACACCCGGGCACCCGGACACCCGGGCACCCGGACACCCGGACACCCGGGTGCCCAGGTACCCGGGCACCCAGACACCCGGGCACCTGGACGCCCGGGCACCCGGACACCCGGGCACCCGGACACCCGGACACCCGGACACCCGGACACCCGGACGCCCGGACGCTTGGACACCCGGACACCCGGACACCCGGACACCCGGACACCCGGGCACCTGGACACCCGGACACCCGGACACCCGGACGCCCGGACGCCCGGACACCCGGAAGCCCGGACGCCCGGACGCCCGGACACCCGGGCACCCGGGCACCCGGACACCCGGACACCCGGACACCCGGACACCCGGACACCCGGACACCCGGACACCCGGACACCCAGACACCCGGACACCCAGACACCCGGACACCCGGGCACCCGGACACCCGGACACCCGGGCACCCGGACACCCGGACACCCGGACACCCGGATGCCCGGACACCCGGACACCCGGACACCCGGACGCCCGGACACCCGGACACCCGGACGCCCGGACACCCGGACGCCCGGACGCCCGGACGCCCGGGCACGCGTTCGGGCACGGTAAAATAGTCATATACCCCATGTTGGATTGGGGCCTGCCAGTGAGTGGGTAGACCTTGTGCACTCGCGGTCGTAAGTCTGGGCGCTCTGGTTTGCAGCGCGCTGTTGCAAAGGGCGTACGTAAAAGGGCGCCTCACGACGTCCATGCTGCAGGCACGCATGGCCTCATGTAGCATAACGTCCTGACACAAACACACGCACACACACACACACGACGGCGCGGCCCGTCGATTGTCTCATGATCTGCGCAATACCTGACAATTGTCGTATCATCTCTTGTCCGCGTGACGCTTGTCGAGAATTGCGCGCGCCATTGGTGCAAGGCTGGTGTTTTTTCCTTTTGTGTTCCCTTGTGGGGTTGTTTGCGCCGCAATGGCCGCTGGCGTGAGCGAGGAAGAGGATGAGGACATGGCGCGAGCCATCGCGATGTCCATGGGCCAGTCCATCGGTGGGGAGGGGTAGTCGGCGCTGACTTTCCAGAGTGCGAGTTCTTAGTTGAACAGTAATCGAACGCACCCCCCAGACGTGTCAGCTTCGTCTCGGACGCGGCACGTTGCAGCCTTCATTGCAGCACAATGCGCGTTCAAGACCCAATGATCGCATGCGTGGTCTTTGTCGTGCTGCCCTCCACCATAGCTCTTGCAATCGGCAGCAGGCGACATCTCCATGCAGTCGAACATCGGTTCTGGCGTCCTTTTTGGCACGTGTCGGAGGGAGGCGGGATGGGAGGGGAACGTGAGCGCGTGCGTGGGTCGGAGGCCGTAATTAGCAGGGGACGACGCGCGCGCGCGTGTGTGTGTGGGTGTATGTATGCGTGTGTTCGTGTGTGTGTATATGTGTGCGTTTGTGTGTGTGCGTGTGCAGCACGCGTCTTCTAGGATTCGCGCAGCCTTGGCTACCCGTGGGGGCTCGAAGAGCATCGCGCTTCGTGGGCTGGGCCGAGCCTGGGACTTCTCCCGCGGTCCCCGCACGTGGCCTCCGGCGATCCCGATCCCGAGGTCCACAGAAGAGCGAGGCACGCCGGGAAGCCTCCACCCCCGACCCTCGACTCCCGAAGCGCGATTCGTCTTCGCCACATCGGAGTACACCCGCCACTGAAAAATCACAAGACAGCTCGCCGCTCGGGCCCCATCGCCAACCCAAACGGCGAGCATCAATCACGCGTAGCCCCGCACGCATTCGAATGCCCACGCTTAGTCCTCGTACTATTCGTACCTGATCGTCGTCGTCGTCGTCCTCCTTGTCCCCCTCCTTCTCATCCACCTCGTTTTCCTCCTGCTCCAGCTCCTCCGCGTCGTCCTCGTCTAGGACCTCGTCTTCGTTTCTCCTTTCCTCCTCCTGCTCATCCTCCTTCTCCTGGCACCTCGGCGGCCAATAAAAAAACAGTCTTCTATCGGTTGCGCCATAGGTTGTGCCCTCAGCGGCCGAAAATCAGACCGTTTTCTGACGGTTGGGCCGTAGGTTGCGCCATCGGCGGCCGAGAAAAAACCGTCTCCTATCGGTGACGCCATGGGTTGCGGCCTCGGCGGCTGAGAATAAAACCGTGTCTTGTCGGTTGCGCCATACGTTGCGCCCTCGGCGGCGGAGACTAAATCCGTCTCTTATCGGTTGCGCCATAGGTTGCGCCCTCGGCGACCGAGAATGAAAACCGTCTCCTCTCGGAGGCGCCATAGTTTGCACCCTGGGCGGCCGATTATAAAACCGTCTCCTATCGGTTCCGCCCTGGGTTGCGCCCTCGGCGGCAGAGAATAAAACCGTCTCCTATCGGTTGCCCCATACGTTGCGCCTTTGGCGGCCGAGAATACAACCGTCGCGTAGCGGGTGCAACCAGTCTGTTCATTTCAGTTCGTTCAGTTCAGTTCAGTTGAGTTCAGTTCAGTTCAGTTCAGTCAGTTTACCTCGCGAGAAACAAATGTTGGCTACGCCCGAAATCACCTCTTCCTGTTCCTCCTCCTCCTCCTTTTCCTCCTCCTCCTCCTCAACATCATCATCATCATCATCATCCCCCTTGGTGCACCGATCCTGCCAGGATCGGTGTTGGTGTTCGTATGCAGCCGGCGCTTCTCTGCCGCAGGCTCCTGGCCCGTCAAGTCTGGATCCTCGATTCGCCATCACACCTTGCTTGGAATGAAGGGGGGGGCCACAAGGCTTCTTCGCGCCTCGGTCCTGCAAGCTCGATTCCCCTCCTGGCCCCCAAGTCTGGGTCCTCGATTCGCCATCACCGATCTTGCTCCTGATGAAAAGGGGGAGGCCCCAAGGCCTCCTCGAGCCTCGATCCTGGAAGCTCGATCCCCGATCGAGCCCCGAGGAGCGACCCGCCCTCCAGCCATCCTCCGATATGAGTTGTTTCGATGCGCGGTCGGGCAGATCCTGGCCCCTTCTCCAGGGTCAGGTGTTCGTTTTGGGTGCTTCTGTGATGGCCCCGGGGCCAGTTGACGCGCCCCAGAGGCCGAAACCCAGAATAGGTTCAGGATTGAAGACACAAGACCCTCGCGAGATCTTGGCTTTGCAGCAGCACCCAAGCGTTCCCAGAGTCGGGTCCCAGAGGCCTCCCCGAACCTCGATCCCGGAACCTCGGTCCCCGATAGATCCTCAGCTTCCTCGTCCTCCTCATCCTCGTCATCCGGAGCCATTTTGTTGCAAATCGCATTTTTCAAGGCAGCTGGCCGTTCAGCTTCGCTTCTCCATATCCCGAGGCCCGCCCACGGCAGCCCAGTCTTCGGTGCCGTTCCAAGCGGCGAGCTTCACGTTCGTGGCTTTCTTAAGTTTAAGTCGTTCAATTGCAGAAATTCGGATTGGCTTTTCCCGCAGGACATTGGACAGGCACCGCGCGGAATTGCATGCCTTACCGCTACTCCATGGACACAGATAGCGACCCTTCCCGCGGCGATTCCAAACACCGCAGTAACACCAGTTGACATCGGAGTTGAAGATACCGTCACCGCCGTGATTCCGACCGCAAGCGTGACCGTGAGACATATATATCTATATCTATATATATACAGAGAGAGAGAGAGAGAGAGAAAAAGAAAAAAAGAAAGACAAACAACCATTTGTATCTAAAAATCGTAAAGGAGAGCACCGTCCAGATGGGCGTCGCCATTCGTCAGTTCTGCAGAAGACCAACCTCGACATCAAGGACACAGTTGGCGCTCCTTCGACTACTGAGCAAAGACAGATACGCCCCGCGAGCTATATCCCACTCCGCATCCGAACAAACGGCATGACAACGGCGTCAGCTTGAACACGTGGCTGAGTTCGCCATTCTCCTTTCTCAGGAGCAGGGAATCATTGCCGCTCGAGCAGCTCGAGCAGCTCAGCAGTTTTCCATTACCGCAGCAGCCGCAGCTTCAGCAGCCGCAAGCATGCTCCAGTGGACGGACTCCAGATGAACCTCTTCGTGGGCTTGTTGAAGGCACGGCAACTCCAGGTGGAGATGCCTACTCACCACAGCCGCCACCGCGGCCATAGGCGTCACTCGATTCTGATATCAGCTCTAACTACAACGCATCATGGTCTCACACGTCGACAGGATTCAGAACACAGCCGGCAATGCGATGGAACAGTTTCAGAAACATTTTCCCGCAGCATTTCAGCGACACGAAGCCGCGAACACCAGTCGCCTCGATGGACAAGCGCATGATCTCACGGCCATCAAACAAGCCCAAGCTAGACACGATGCTCAAAACAAAGAAGTGTTGCATGCCATGGATCGCATAGACCAGCAGTTCAGCCTCTCTGATGCCGACGTACCCATCCTGGACATGGCCGAGCTCTCAGATTGGGATCGCGACCCAGATCTGGTCATTTTCACCCTCTCCGGCGCGCAGCTCCTTGCCCCAGCAGCGCACTTTCCACTGCCGAATGGGTGGAGGCTGCGAACCTTGGTGCGCCGCTTTGTCGAATGTGTGGGGGAGGAACCAACGCACGCGCCCATCTGAAAGCTCTGGAGGGCCGCGACATCGCCGTGCCTCGGGCGGCACCACCTGCGCGTGCCCTTCAGCCCACGGGACGCGGAGGGCACCGCAGACTCTCGCGGTGCCGACCAGGCCGGCAAAAAAATTGGCCTCGGCCGTTCCAGCCGGCGGCGTGCCGGGGCACGGCGAGCGGCGTCCTCGTCTCGCCACGTCCTCGGCTCGCCACGCCCTCCTCCTCTTCCTCCTCCTCTTCCTCCTCCTCCTCATCCTCCTCCTCCTCCCCCTCCTCCTCCTATTCCTCCTCCTTTTCCTCCTCCTCATCCTCCTCCTCCTCCCCCTCCTCCTCCTATTCCTCCTCCTATTCCTCCTATTCCTCCTCCTCCTCCTCCTCCTCCTCCTCCTCCTGCTCCTCCTCCTCTCTACCCCGACAAGTTTGCTGAAACCTTGGCCCGCCGCTTGCAAGTTGCGCGGCCCGCGCCCGCGACTTCAGATGATCTCTCCGCCTGCTTGCCAGGGCTGTCCACCCGCCGGACACGCGGCGCGCCGGCCGTTCGCTGGGCCGCGCATGCAACGCCTGCAGGGGCGCGGCGGAAAACCAGCCACCGTTGCCCGTTCGGCCCGCGCGAGGCCGGCCCGCTCGCGCGCGAGCGCCGCGCCGCGAGCAGGAGAGGGCAGGCGAGACACTGGCCGTCTCGGCCAGTATCTCGCCTGCCCTCTCCTGCTCCGCTTCCTCGCCTTGCCTCGGGCCCTCCTTTCCTCCGTCCCCCGCGCTCGCATTGCGCATTGGTCTTGGGGCATCTGCGCAGGATACCAAACCAGGGCGCTCCATGTCACGCGCCGTCCGCAGCGCAGCCCTGCCAATTGACTTCTACAACACGATGCGCGCCATCACGTTCGCCGCGCCCGCCGCGTTTTTTTCCCCAAACAGCTTGCTGAACGGGGTGCCGTTGTGATAGAAGCTAACTCCGGCCCAGGGAAATCAAAGCAGAGACGTCCTCATAAAAATTTGGTGGTCCGGGCCGTTTCGCCTGAGACATCCTCGCAACTCTCGTTTATGAGTTGTCCAGGATTGGGCGTTTCGCGTGAGACATCATCCAAACTCTGAGTTCCCAGATGCCGCGCAAGAGGTGGTCCGGCCCGTTTCGCCTGAGACGTCCTCCAAACTCTGAGTTCCCAGATGCCGCGCGAGAGGTGGTCTGACCCGTATCGCCTGAGACAGCCTGCAAACTCTGGGCTCCCAGATGCCGTGCGCGAGGTGGTCCGGCCCGTTTTGCCCGAGACATCTTCGCAACTCTGAGTTCTGAGATGCCGCACAAGAGATGGTCCAGCCCATTTCGCCTGGGCTCCGAGATGCCGCGCAAGAGGTGGTCCGGCCCGTTTCGCGTGAGACATTCTCCAAACTCTGAGTTCCCAGATGCTGCGCGAGAGGTGGTCCGGCCCGTTTTGCCCGAGACATCTTCGCAACTCTGCGCTCTCTGATGCTGCGAGCTGCCGCCCAAGAGGTGAATGGTCCGTTTCACTTGAGACATCG